GGTGACCGCTTGGTGTTTGACAGTTTAATCTTTTAAAAGAATATAACTACTTTCATAATAGTTTATAGGTCAACTTTTTTAAATGTCATCTTTTAACAAACCTATTTTCTGTTTTATAACAATGTTTTCTCCATGTAATACAGATGTGAAACGTGTGGATCAGCATTCAGCCAGGCAGCCCACCTTAAGAACCATGCGAAAGTGCATTCCGGAGAGAAGCCTTTCAAGTGTGATATTTGTACGGCTGCCTTTGCAGATAGATTCGCGCTAAAGAGACATCGGGGTATTCACGACAAATATGGTATGTATGAAAAGATTCATTAATGCTCACAAAATAATAAATATGTTAGCTGAAATAAGTTCGAATTATATTAAAATAATTCCTATTGCAGGTCAAACAACACCACTACCTTCAAGAATACAACAAAACCAACAAGAGCAACAACAACAGCAAACGCAACAGAACAGTGAGCAACAAAGCACACAACCAGCTGTGGAAGTGGAACTCCATGCTGAACAAACACTTTGAGCTTCATGTCTTCCTTGTGTTTTGAGATAATCCCACCCTGTCATTAATTCAACAACATTGATGACAAAGATGTCTATAGCTCAAGCAACTATGACTGTGCGATGGCCAGAGACATGTTATTGTGATAAAGATGGCCGAAGTGTATTCAGTGATCAATAGTATTTCTCATCAATAGATATTTCGAACGATATACAATTTTAATATACATAGTTAACGCAGCGGCATAAATGACTTACATGTTATGTGTTCATGTAATAATAATATGCAGGTGATACAACATAATAATATTTAAAAGGTTTCCCATTATTAGGAGTTTGTTTTACATATTATTAAGGTATTACTCTCCGGTTGTTCTTAGCAGTCTCTTCTAGCACTATTCCGTGAAGCAGCAACTTCCGAGCTGTCACCCAGGTGATTTTTTATTGGTGTCACCCATTTTTTCAACTGGTTCACTTCCGAATCGTAGCAAAAGATACTACTTACTGGTATTTATTCTTCTCAATATGACTGGTTTTTTATTACTGTGCTCAAGGGGACTACTAGTAACAATAATTGATCATCTCAACGATTGTTTAGCCTTTTAGAATAATTGGCTGTGGAATACAACATTTTAATTTTTATTGCTCCAATATCTGTTGTGATTTTTATCAAAACATTGTAAATAAATTGAATTCAGGTGCGTCACTAAGCCTATGTGATTTAGTATTTGTAGCATATCCAAGAGATGTCAATGAATCTTTGTTATAGAGAAGTTGGATGGGATGAACTTACTAATATTAGAAGCAATACTTTGTTATTATAATTATGTAGATAAACGGTTCTCTGCAATATTTTATTCAATATAGTGGATAAACAATTTACTCTTTATTTTTTTATATATAGAAGTTAATTATCTAATACATTTTGAAGTAAGTGCAGCTCATCCAGAGGCACCCGCATCACAGTGATGCATTTTATAAGTTAAACCTGGAATTTTTGATTATGGAATATAGTAAAATTTTTGTCTATAATTTTGGTTTTATTATTTACTCATTTGAAGATGCTAACACCTATGAAATATTGTCAGACGTGAGCTAAAGTGGTGGCACCTTCCATAAACAGCGGGGGGGGGGGGGTAGACTCGGTTACCTCGTACCTACCTAATTTTCGTAATCAAAACTAATAAAAATATACACATTCTTTCTGGTTTATTTAATGTCATTTCGTGCCTTATCAACTGAGTGTGTGCAACTGCACATACCTATAATCTCAAAGAATACCATACCAGCCTCCACACTCACTATTATCATCAACCCTTGATTTGGCATGCATACCGAAAGGCACCATTACTGAATTTTTATCTACTATATACGTTATTTCTAGACTTCGTTTACCACATCAATACCTATTGCTACCGCATCAACACACTTCATGCATGAACTACGTAATTGGGTACGTACCAAAGTAGGTAGTTCATGCTTACCAAAGTATACAAATTTCACACAAGGATAAGTAGGGTATAGTAAGAATTACCTATCGTAATTATTGAAATAAATGTCTACCCTCTTACTTGAGTTGTGTAGGTATGTTGGTATTTATTTTCTAATGTTATTCTGCGTCACGTTCACGTGTCGGAATAATACGTATGTACAGTTTATCCTATTATCATTTAACTTTAATAATAGTCAATGCAGCATTATACACTTATCTTAGGGTCATCAGGAGCATGACATCTAATGAGAATAATACTGCACTAAATGACATTTATCAAACTGCTATTGAAACTATAGTTTTCTATTGCTGAGATATGGCGACTAATATATTGGGGTAAATGACTAATTTTTATTTTAATGTCAGTCTAGTAGGTTATTTAAACATAAGACTGCAATTTTTGTTTTCTTACGAAAGTAAATACTTTGGACGATAGTTATACTATGTTTGATACCCAATAAACGTAGCTCCTACTCCTAAACTTTGTTATGTACCTAGGTGTAGGTATTGCGTTCATATACGACAAAATAAAAAAATACGTGTCTACTGTCTAAGGTTTTTCATTGCCTAACTCATCTATTTGACAGACTAGGTAATTAGATTTTTTCGTTTTCTTACCCTGTAATCCCAATATGATGCTTATCCTTGTAATTATCTTACTGGATTGTTATAGAAAACCTGCATTTGAAATGTTTGCAGAATTCTTATTAGGTACGTCCCTATACCTGTTACTTAGATTTTTGTCTATATATTCATATTCGCATTGGAATTTTGTAGTCATTGTATGTAGTCAATGTCTTATGCGTGGACACATTTTTCTAAGCTCTAGCAATACCTTTGAATTATAGTTAAATAAGTACCTACTTTGGAAATATTTAGTTTCTGTCAACCCCCCCATATGGGACAAAGGCACGAGTTTATTTATGAATGGTTCAATACCCTGAATGAGTACCTATAGGTTTTTACTGTACTGTGCAACATGATGGTACGGTGTTCATGGGAAAGTTCTTACGTATGACAGTGTGATGTGTGCAAAATACATTACTTACCTACTTACCCTGAACTTATGTTTCAAGGATAGCAATTAGGTATTTAAATTTTATAGGAATAATGACACAAAATAATCATGATGAATAAAAAAAAGCATAAGGGTACGAGTTTTTTAATATTAGATCACTGTATGTAAACTTAAAAGCGTTTACTAACCTATTACACGTGGTAAAGGTTATAACACTTATAAATGGAATTAAGTTATAATTTATTCATAAACCCAGTTTTCGGCAGCTGGTGTCCATCCGACGACTTCTTTATCTCCAAACCAGAGTGCGATTTCCTTCTTAGCAGACTCCACACTGTCGGATCCGTGGATAATGTTGCGGCCAACTTCGATGCAGAGATCGCCACGAATAGTGCCGGGTTGTGAGTCAGCTGGGTTTGTAGCTCCAAGCATCTGACGGCCGGTTTTCACGACGTTCAGGCCCTCCCATACCATGGGAACTACGGGTCCAGAGCTCATGTATTTCACTAGACCAGGGAAGAAGGGCTTGGACGATAAATCGCTGTAATGTTTCTGAAGCAACTCTTCTGAGGGCCACATGAATTTGAGGCCTACTAACTTGAATCCTTTCTTCTCAAACCGTTCGATAATGGTGCCAACAAGTCCACGTTGGACACCATCAGGTTTAATCATGAGGAAAGTTCTTTCACGTTGTTCCGCCATTATGACTTTTATTAACGTGTAGCCGGCGCGTCTGAGATGGATTACAAGGTATAGCAAAGTGGCAATCATACGAAAGAGGATGAATTCCCAACGCGTCACAAAATCAACCACAGAATGTATATACCGTTAAATGGTTTTATGTATATCTATAACTAGTCGCGATTAGGGTTTGATACCAATGAGCTTATAAGTAAAATATTTATTTAAACGACATTGAAAATGTTAAATAGTTTCCATTTGTATTTAGTATAAAATACCAATTTTACGAAAATACGCAATGTCATAAATTGCTGAGTATTTTTAAAATTTTTTGCTAAACAGATGCCATATCGCGTTTGTGTATAAAATCAATCGATATTCTTTTTTATTCATGCCTGTAAAATCGATTGAAAAGGAGAACCAGTATTCTTGTTCTTAGTAACAATATTACTAAAAAGTATCTTCAATATTAGGTACTAAAAACGAAATAATTGGATTGGTATTTGGGTCTGCTAGTGTTTTACTTATTCATTAATATTAACTATCATAAAAATAAAACTAGTTAGGTGATAGACCGACAAGTGCGCCCCACGAAGATAACAGTCGATGTCACCATTCTCCATGACGACAACCTCGTGAAAGCTGAGAAAGATAAATAAATAAAATATCTAGGCTTAGCTCAAGAGGTTGTTGATATGTGGATTCGGCTATCATTGTGTCTCTAAAAGCCTAGACGTCCATCTCAAGAGGCTGGCGGTAGGAGGACGTATCAAGGACCTGATACAGAAGACAGTTCTCCTAGAAACGGCACGTATAGTGAGGTTTCTGTGTCTGGAGCTCTAACCACCGGTAGCTTGGACCATGGTCCCGCTACTGGTCGGCTCTTATTTTTTATATTTTTAAATTTTATTTTGTAAATAGTATTTAAAAATGTATTTTATTCCAATTTCTTATTTTTAGAGAATTATAAATGAAAACTACTGAAACCAACAACGTTGAAAAAAGCGGCACACTGCACAGGATAAATTACTGTGGCACCTGGCTACTATAGTCTTACACGCAGAATATACACACATATTGACAAGAAGGACACCTCTCGCGTGATATAAATCGTCATTACGCTTGACATAACTGCACTACTGAGATTTTGGTGCTTCAATAATTTCCAAGTAACACAATGTCCGCCTTTTTTTAACGTCTTCAGAGTAAAATTATATAATTTTTGATACATTATACATATTGGATAATTTATAAATAATGAGTATAAACAAATAGTACTGCATATTATTTATTGTTGTTATTATTATTAATTTATTATGAATTAAGGATATTGGTTAGATATACATTTTATGGGGAAATTTATAATAAATTTTATTAAAGCAATTTTAGGAGGTCTTGACTTAGGTTTAGAGATAACTAACTATTTTTGAGAGTTGGTAACACTGATTGATTATTAGTATTTAAATAGGTTTATTTATTTCAAAACAATATCCCACAGAACATAATATATACCCTATCGAGCACCTGTAATAAACATTCAAACAAACTTACAAACAAGGACGTCAATATGATTCGTCAGGAAACGGCTAGAGTTCTTTGTATCTGAGGTAGGATTGTAGGGTTATTATTTGTAAGTATTATAACACACACAGTTAACAACATGATCATTGACAAGACCACATGCTTGCATGAAAGCGTAACAAATTTTGGAGCCCACAAACTTAAAACCTCTTTTTTTCAAAGCTTTTGATAAGGCTGCAGATTCTGGTGTTTCGGGAGGAATATCTGTGTATTTTTTCCAAGAGTTGATAATTGGTTTTTTATTGACAAAACTCCAAATAAAAGTGGAAAAATCTTCACCTTCGTTTTCCATTTGTAAGTAACATTTAGCATTGTTTATTATTGAATCAATTTTTCCTTTATGCCTTACAACTCCGGATTCATTTAAAATTAATTTTACATTCTTTTCTGTTAACTTTGATATTTTGTGAGGATCAAAGTTAAAAAATATCTTTCGATAGTTTTCCCTCTTCTTTAATATCGTTAACCATGACAGTCCTGCTTGTTGGCCTTCTAAACACAACATTTCAAATAAAGCGCCGTTATTATATTGCGGTTTGCCCCACTCTTCATCATGATATTTTATGTATAACGGGTCTTTATTTAACCATCCACATCGGAGAATTTGATTTTCTGCCATTGTCACCACAGAACATATATACCAAAAGGATTGTCACACTCTCAAGTCTCACTCACTCTTGCGCACTTGCGCTTGCTTAATAGTACGGTTTATACAGATATATACCTATTTCTTCAATATAACAATATATTTTACAATATAACAGTATACTTTATAAACATAAGTAAAACTTTAATTCAGATATTTAGTGAGGTTCTGATAAACTAATAATATTATCATAACCTAACTCTTATAAAACCATAGATAAAAGATAAATAATTTAAGTTGCTATGGTTGGTAGTTAAAACGAGCAAAAAAATTTTTGAGAAGACAGCTCCTATGACCTAATAAATTCTTCTTTACCTTTCCTTTCCATTACTTTTGATTAATGACGCCCAAAAGCAGTTTAGTTTGTTCACGTTCTGGCGCTAGTTGCGAGATATTTCCAGTTATGGTGTATAGTCTATGCGCGAGAGCATAGTGAGAATTAGTTCATATTATATATTTCATGGATCATGGTCATTGGTTTGGATGGAAGCAATAAAAATTAAATATTTTCTCTTATTTATAATTAAGTTATTTATTGCGTAATTTATTATATTATTTATGTATTTATAATTATATTATCTAGTTAAGTATGTCAGCAACCAGAGTTATTTCATGAAACTCGGGAAGCCAAGATCTTAATAAGTGTACGTATGAAAATGCTTACAGATATATTTTTAACGCTTTTAGGTTTTTATAATATTCTTGTTATAGATGTGAATTTTTCTTAACAGACACTTTGACTTAAAATAGCTGTTATTATGTAGGCCAATATTTTTCTTAATATTTTTTTAAGAAAAATATTTTAGTTAGAAGTGCCTGTAGTTTCTCTAAACCAGCAAAAACATAAATGTAAGAGATAATGTGCGAAGAATTAAATTTAATCATATAAGCTAGCCGCATTTAAATTTAAATATCCTGTACAAACTAGCCATTTGGGGCCTCCATATACTTTTGCTAGTTTGGACTGATGGTTACACCTGTGAGGTTTAATATATCTTCGTGTTTGGGGTCCTGATACCAAGCTGTTCACAAGCCTTATATTTTCATCACTGAGTGTACCTTCAGATATTTGCTGCAATAGTGGTATATACTCCGGTTTCGACAGTTCGTTTGTAATGCGCATCATCTGGAAAATATCAAAATTTTTAACACAATGATCTAACTGATTTCCGTCACGGTCTCCCTCATTTTGATAATGCGATGAGCAGAGACTGATTAAACCTAGGAGGGGCCTAGGCAAGCACTTTATAGGTGCCCTAATTTTTGGGACGCCACCGTTACTCTATAGTCACGTGCGATTCACTGCATCGCGATGCACCTCTAACTCAGCGTCCTAGACACGGATAATACAGCTTTGGCGATGAGGCGATGATGTAAGAAACGAACCTGTGAGACTCAACTTCAACACCAAATTTGCAGTAGGAGTGATAAGTACTCCGTGAGTGTGTATTAATTTTTAACATAGGTACATACCACAATTTTTAGTTGTGCTTCGGAAAGAGGTGTTGCTATGGGTCCTAGTAACATCACACTGCTGTTCGAACCAAGACTCTCTGGATCCACCGATATAAGTCCATCGTCACTTCCATTACTTTTAATTTCGTCATTTATTATTAAAAACATGTGTTCGTTTGGCGTTGTGGTTTGTGTGTATTTGTGGTCTGGTACGTAAGGTTTCTGAATAATTGGTTGTGGCATAATGTCGTTCAATAAAGCTTTGAGTTTCAATTTAGTTTTATCCTTCTTTTTAGATGGCTTATTACGTTTGCAACAAAGTGTTTTTAATTGAGCGACGAGTACATCAAATAACAATTCTTTCTTCTTATCTTCATCATCGTTCTTTGTGTCTGATTCCACTTCTGAAGGATGACTGTACAATAAATTGTTCAGTTTTTGTACAGCGACATATTGAGGATCAGCACCTCGGTTGGAAGCGAATGGGTCTACTTCTTTATCTTCTAGCCGAAAGACTGGCCCTTCTTGTTTAGGTTTCTCTAAACTTGTTGAAATTTTCTTATTTTTCTTGGGACTCTCAAATACGCTTTTAAATTGTGCAAGAGATTTACTCAAGATAGTTTCTTTATCTTTTGGCGGGGCTAAGTTAGTCGTATATTTAGTAGCAAGTTTGACGATGTCATTTATATTATATTCAGATTTACTGGGTTGTTCATTTAGTAACTTAATTAATTCGGCGTCGGGTAATTTCGAAAGAAGATACGTGACGTCGTTATCTGAAAAAGGTACACAATTTAGTAATCACCAATATTTTGTAACTTTCTAAGTATTCTCACACAGTTGTGTTTGTAAATTTGTCAACTTATAACTTAGATGAATAATTTAGGCAACATTAGTGGCATTTTTATTTTGAACTCATTGAGTAGGTACCGTCATTATAAACACAAGAACAATAGGTTGCGGTCACCGGTGACCGCTCGGTGTTTGACAGTTAACGTAATTTATAATTTAGTATATCGACTGTTTCGACGATCTACTTCGTTAAGAGCCAGAGCAATACTGGTGAGATCGATTATCAAGATGATAAGGATTTTTTGAAATTTAATTATTTTTTTTGTACCAAAACAATTTATTTACAACAGGTTTTATTAAAGTACACAATACACGTAAGTTCCGTTGCTTACCCATGTCTTTTACTATCGAAGCGCTTGCCAAACTTTTTTCATTTGGTAAATCTTTGTCATTTGGCACTAACCCTTTTACCACTAAATATTCTGCTATATCACTGTTCCACTCAGCGGGATACGACGATGGATTTTTATCTGATATTGAAGACATCGGAAGCACTGCATGTATCTGAAATAAATAGTTTTAATGCGCCTTAAGAAGACAGATATTTTGATCATTATATTCTTGTGGGCAGGACAAATCTGTTGTATAAATTATAATATGATACGAACTGATTGATATATTTTATTATTGTATTATGATGTGATGTCACTTACCCAATATGAGAAAATTATTATCTTAAATTCATTAAAATACGGAAACATGTTCGTTACGAAAGCAATATGCGGTCAGTGCTAGTTTAATTTTACGGCTGAATGCTCAATAGCTTCTTCCTCATAAAAAGTAGTTACCTATCTTGTTATTGTTTACGAAATTAACAATGAACAAGTGCTCGTTAAAAAGTTTACGATAGCGATAAGGATTCAGTCGTGTTGAATGGTATGTTTTACCATGTCAAGGACTTATTATGCTTTATTTGTTTATCTACACAACAATCTGCACTTGCAATCATTAATGCTGAATGAGATTCTCTTCTCTAGGTATACCCTGGATCTGGTTGTGAAATAAATGACTTGATGCAGATAACCGAATGCCCGGTACCTATATGGCAATAGGCATTTATTGAATGGAGCTCATAACTATTAAAAAAAATGATTGTTTATTTATTTATATTTAAACATTACATTTATCATCACAGGCATACCTAATACAATAAATGCAGTTACACACTATAAGTATATTGTATATTGTCCTTTGGGGATTGAAATTCGTGTCGTTATGTAATTTTAATATTTATTTAAAACAAATTCTGAGAACTAGCATTTTCTTGGAAAGTAATAGTATGTATACTTGTAAGAAAAAATTCTGGTATTCAGTGACAAGAAAAATGGTCTAGTTGACACTTGACAGACAGACATTAGTGACATTGACATATTTGACATTGTATTGTTTGTATTGCAGTGCAGTGCCGTCTCGTCGTTACAAATAAAATTATATTCTTTATAATTTAACTTTAAAAACAAGGAAAATGAATATTCCTTTCCCAGTTTTAACTCCACGTTTAGTAGATCCCTTGTGGTTTAACGCAGACAGTCCATGTGACGAAGAAACTGAGTTAACTGCTTTAGAACAAGCAAATCAACTTTGGGTTAGCACTGTTGTTTATATTTCTTATGCTTTACGATCTGTATAGTTTACAATTTATTTTTGTTACAGTTAAATCTTTGAAATTAACTACCGTAATATGCAAGAAATAAAAATATTATCTTGAATGAATGGAAGATTATTGTTACCTACTTCCAAAAACACACATATTAATAATTAAATATTATGTGATTATCAGGATGCTCTGATGATTTTCGCCTTATTTTTAGGTATTCTATGCGATGGAAATGGAAAACTAGCTATTCATTAGAATATTTATGAAAATTTTGTCCCAATACTTGTACACCCTTCGCTACACTCACTGAAAATATGCTTTTCATTTCTAATAAAACTATCATTTAGATTTTAACATTAATAATGTTGTTTTATAACATTTCTAGTTAAACTCTATTGGCCAGCAGTACATGAAGCGTGCGCCACTTGGCAAAGCTGATCCTGAGCCTATGGAGGAAGAAGCTGACACTGATGAGGAAGAAGGTACATTACCTACCTATTTATAAAATTGTTACAATATTCTGCTCTTTACATCAATTTAAACTCAACTCAAGTAAAAAGTCAAAATCGTGTATTTAAATTAGACCACGAAGGCACTTTAAACATCAAACAAATATTAAAATTTTAAGAATGTCTAAAGTCTGCATTTCGTTTGTCAGTAAATCATGACCAAATAACTGCCAATTTCCATAACCAAACACAATCCAAAATCTTTAGATTAGGACTTTTGACAATAGTTTAATAAGACTGTCTATCAAAAAACCAAGATCGATCCAAGATTTTAGGATCAAGATCGCTTATTGAAATCGGCAGTTAGTCATATTTTAATTTCTTGACTACCTCTGTAGTCTGTACTATATATAACATATTATCTACCTTTTGGCAAATAACAGGTTATTGGAGTATTTATAAGGCAAATTTATTTATCCTAATTACATATGGTCATTAACTGCTTAACCCATAAATCCTTAAGCGGTCACCGGTGACCGCTTTCCACTAATATTACATTACATTATAGACCTTATTTGTAATATTTAGAGACTACTTTTGTATGACCAAATTTAGGGGATGGATTTCAACGGGTTAAAGATACTACTTCTGATTGAAGGCCTCTTTTCGCATGGAGAAGGGATGAGCATTAATCACTACGCTTGAACGCTCAATGTAGGTTGGCGATAACTTGCTATTAGAAATTTAAAGTCCAGATTTCCTCCCAATGTTTTCATTCACCATTTGTCAGTGGTGACTATATAAAATCTTTGAATATTGACGAATTTATAGTAATATAACTTTAACTATATGCTCAGCGCACGCCACGGAAGGCCTCAGAAACGATACTTTTCTCCCGTTTTTAAAACATTTTTGGTTACTGCTCCACAACTATAGGACCTATCGTGATATTATATAGCCTATGTTACTTCTGAATAATGCAGCTTTCTAATGGTGAAAAAATTATTGCAATCGGTCCAGTAGTTTTTGAGTTTATTCATTATAAACATACAAAAATACAAATCTTTCCTCTTTATAATATTAGTATAGATATATATTGGTGGATATAAGAATATTTAACAATAACACCATCAAAAAAGAAAGAAAACCCGGGGCAACTACCCATTCCCTGGACTTAAGAATGTAGAACATGTTCAACTTCTTATCATGCATTATTATGTTGTTACAGGTAATGATGAATCAGACGAATCTGAAGAATCTCATGATGAGGATGAGGAAGAGGATGTTCCAGCTTCATACTCCCCAGCCCGCAACAATAACGAGTTGGAACCGGACAGCTTAGATGATCTCAATGACGGAACTGATCTCAACAGCTCCGATCAAAGTGCACTATGGCCTATACAATAGCTAGTATTAAACATCAGACTTTTAAATTGGTGATTTCAGAGGCAGATTTAAATGTTCAATCTGCTTGTCAATGTGTCTCTTTTATGTTGAGATCTAGATCTTGCATGGTCTGCCTTTGAGTGATATATTGTCACCATTATATGTAAGAACCCATTTATTGATTTATTATAAACATACATTGTTTTTGACTGAATATTAGAACTAAGATCTGTCTATATATGTATAAAATAAACTTTCTGCAACATACGCTTTTTCGGTATTGTTACATATTATAATAACTGTTGTGAGACTACTGACTTAACGTAACTTGTTTACGTAAATCTACTGAGAAAAACTATTACAATAGGCTGCGCGACGTCGCTGCGACCGCGAACGCTGCTCATGAAGAATCCCTCTGAGAATTCTCAGTGTATTTACGTAAACAGTTTTTTTCGTTAATATTATAGTACAGAATATTCAAAATTATCTTTTAATCACTCATGTTTTCACTTTACCTATTTTTCTTTTCTTTTATTGCTGTATTGCAATACATCTGCTTTGTATAAAGGTCGACTGGGAATAATGTCTAGATAGCATTGTGTACAAATTAATTTAAGTGGCTTTGATTGAGAAATTGAAAATAAATACTTTCTAAAAACAAAAGACATTTTCATTTAATTATAAATATTAATAATTAAATCTTATTAATAAATAAAAAACGTAATATGTTAACAAACTAATAGATCACTTCAATAAAATACTGGATTAAAATGCACTGGTCACATCTATTATGACATTGACCACTCTGGTTAGTAGTGGCCTTAGATTTTCTGCGGACACCGTCTTCCATTTCTTTGTAAGACACTTTTCGACAAAATCATGTGTCGCTTTTGCTACTGGAAAAGAAACAATTAGGCATTAAAACGTGTGTAAAAATAACAAGCAAATAACGGAATATAACAAATAAAATTTCTATCACTACACTCATAGTCGAGTAAGGGGCCTTTGGTTTGATTCCCATATTGGGGAAAGTAGGTACTGTAGGACATTTAGTCTGCTATTTTGCCTACTGCCTATGTTTGTAATAGGGGAAATGGGATTGTGAGCCGCTTACAAATAGGAGAATAGGAATTCTCCTTGTCTCATGCTCTCATAATATAAATAGCAAAACATTGGAAACTTGCCGCCTCTATTTAACCCCATCGAGATTATTGAGAGTGTTGTAATGTAAACTTCTTTTATTTACCTGGTGTATTTGAACAATTAGCCTTATTCAGTGTGAAAAATATAGCACTCTTCTTGACAAGAGGATCATATTCATCACAGTAATAGTGGAAGGCCATGGCCAGGTCTGAAGGTACTGCGTCTATTTCTTTGACAAGCATCACACCGGATCTGTTGACGTCATCCCTGTACCTCGAGATCAGCTCTGCATGTTCCTGCATGTCCAGATTTGCACTTTCCACTATTGTATGTTGTATGGAAGACATATCACTACCTGAATTAGGGCAGAATAGAACAAAGTGAGATCATACCTTATACATATTTGAAATCAGAAATGTTTGGAAATAACATAACA